CATCCTGTTTCTCCACAAGCCGTGCCGCCGCGGGCGTTCTCCACAAGCAAGGCTCGCGCGCGCGCGCCGACACGCGCCGACCCGCGCCGGCCCCGCCGGCCCTGCGGCAGCGCCCGCGGCCGGCCGAAGGCCCAAGTGCTGTCCTCCTCGCTGCTCCTCCCCAGCGCGCCTCTCGGCCGCGGCGGGGATCCGCAAGGGAGCAGCTCGGCTGCGCACGCGACCTCTCGAGATGCCGTCTGAGGCATCTGCCGTTCACCGCGCGGGCACGGCAGCTCCGCTGCGCACGGGCAGGCTAAGCCCAGAAGGGGTATAGAGGACAAGGGGGCGAGGCCCGATGAGGAGAGACGCACTGACTCTACAGGGCAAGACGGGGACCGGGCGCGGGCTGCCTGGCGCGAGAGCGCGCTCCACCTCTCAGAATCTCAGAAGGGCAGCTGCAGCGGGTGCAGCATGGAGCCGCAGTGAGGGATCGGCCCGTCAGGCCCAAGGGTGATGGCCTTCAGAAGGCTGAGCCCGATAATCAGCGCGGTGGCATTCTTGGCCGACGTCTTGGCCTTGCCGTACCACTCCGGCCTGTGCTCCTCCTGCATGTCGGCGAGCATGATGGCCAGGAGGAAGCCAGCGAGCGCGCCCCCAAAGTGCCCCATGAAGTCGACGCTCGGCGATATGGCCGACATCATGACGCAGCTGCCCAGCATGAACGCGAACCACAGGAACACGCGACCCTGGCTCTCGCCGAGCAGCTCCCAGGTGAGCATCACCTCGGCGGCCCACACCCCGAGCAGGCCGAAGCCGCTGGTGGACGCGCCGACGGCGAGCTTCATGGGGTCCGCGACCACGGAGAGGAGGTTGCCCATGAAGCCACAGAAGAGGTACAGCAGACAGAACTTCCGTCTCCCGAACTGCTTCTCCATGTTGCAACCGATCCGCAGCTGGAAGAAGATGTTGAAGAAGATGTGCAGCGGGTTCGCGTGGAGCATCATCGGCAGGAACAGGCGCCACACGGCGCCGCCGGCGATGGCTGGCCCCCACGAGGCGCCCAGGAGGTAGAGGGAGCACAGCTTCGGAACGCCGTAGCTGTTGCCCAGCAGGACGGAGCCCGCGTACTCCACGAGCTGCAGCACCGAGATCCGCCAGATGAACGTGTCCGCGCTGAAGCCTGGGAACAGCGTGTCCATGAAGCCGCCCTCCCGCCTGGCCACCGCAGTGTCCTGGGCGTTCTCCTCTCCACTCCGCGAAGCGGGCTGCGTGGCCATCGGCGGCGGCACCATCATGGCCACCTTGACCATCGAGGCGGCGGCGGCCGCGCCCGGGAGGCTTCCCGCCAGCGTCGCCGCGCCCGCCGCCCACACAGCCCCGCCGGCCACCGCGGCGCCCAGGGACCTCGCCGAAGGCGCGGCCCCGGCGGCGGCGGCAGCCGGGGCGGCGGCGCGGACGGGCGCCAGCGCAGAGGGCTGCAAGCAGGCCTCGAGGAAGGCCCTGTGCCTCACACCGCGCGCCACGCGCCGCGGCGGCGCGCACGGGACGAAGATGAAGTGCTCCCGCGCCTCCTTGGAGCGGCACATCGCGTCCCGCCCCCGCGCCGCGCGGCGCTGGGGCCCGCGATAGACTGCGGCGAGCGCGGTGAGCTGCCAGCGTGCCCCTTTGGACAAGGGGGCTGGGGCCCAAACAGCGCCGGCATGGATAGGGATGGAACGTGAGTGTGGCGCGCACGTCTGAGGTTCGACACTCTACCCTGCTCCGCCTCCTTCTGGTCCTCCTCCTGCCCCATCTGCCGATGAGGCTCCTCGTCCTTCCCCATCCGTGCTCGTTCTGGCTAGTCGTAGTATTCATGATGGTGGCAGTAGTAATGGTAATTAGTGGTAACGGTAGTGGTGCCATTGGGTACCGCGACAAGCGGTCGTTTGACACGTAAAGGCGCGCAAGGAAGAGAGCGGAGGTATCGGGATGGATCTGGGGATGTGAACACCTCACGTTGGGTCTCTCTTCCTCCCTCCTGCTCTCTCTCTCTCTCTATCACTCTCTCTCTCTCTCTACTGCAGAAAAAATCCTGCTGCAGCTGAACCTTATCCTCCATTCCCCCCTCTGGAACTATTTGAGCCGCAGAGGCAATAATAGCTGTAGTTGTGTTAATGGTAGCGTTGAGATTCGTAGCAGCGGGGAAGTCGAACAAACAGGCAAATACAGGTTCTTATAGTGCAGCTACTACAACTGCCACTGCCACTACTGGTGGCTGCTGCGACAGGTGGAGACTGAGGAAGGGGAACGAGTTTCCCGAATAGCGTCTCGCTGCTAGTTTCTAGCCAAGTTACAACACATGATTCAACATGTTCGTGCGTGTGTGACTTGTCGAAGTTTCGAGCCGAAGGTTGGGTTTTGGGTGACACTTCAACGAACATCAATCGTGAGCCTTGTTTTCGTGGGGTCAACCGCAGGACCCAGGAGCCTCCCATCAGTTAGACTTTTCAGAGCTGCAGCATCCCCGTGATTCATCTCAAATGCGTCGCATCGCTCTCAGAGTTCTTCGCTGAGATTACATGTTTTCTCCACAAGCCGCCGTCGCGCCGCCGCGGGCGTTCTCCACAAGCAAGGCTCGCGCGCGCGCCGAGACGCGCCGACCCGCGCCGGCCCTGCGGCAGCGCCCGCGGCCGGCCGAAGGCCCAAGTGCTGTCCTCCTCGCTGCTCCTCCCCAGCGCGCCTCTCGGCCGCGGCGGGGATCCGCAAGGGAGCAGCTCGGCTGCGCACGCGACCTCTCGAGATGCCGTCTGAGGCATCTGCCGTTCACCGCGCGGGCACGGCAGCTCCGCTGCGCACGGGCAGGCTAAGCCCAGAAGGGGTATAGAGGACAAGGGGGCGAGGCCCGATGAGGAGAGACGCACTGACTCTACAGGGCAAGACGGGGACCGGGCGCGGGCTGCCTGGCGCGAGAGCGCGCTCCACCTCTCAGAATCTCAGAAGGGCAGCTGCAGCGGGTGCAGCATGGAGCCGCAGTGAGGGATCGGCCCGTCAGGCCCAAGGGTGATGGCCTTCAGAAGGCTGAGCCCGATAATCAGCGCGGTGGCATTCTTGGCCGACGTCTTGGCCTTGCCGTACCACTCCGGCCTGTGCTCCTCCTGCATGTCGGCGAGCATGATGGCCAGGAGGAAGCCAGCGAGCGCGCCCCCAAAGTGCCCCATGAAGTCGACGCTCGGCGATATGGCCGACATCATGACGCAGCTGCCCAGCATGAACGCGAACCACAGGAACACGCGACCCTGGCTCTCGCCGAGCAGCTCCCAGGTGAGCATCACCTCGGCGGCCCACACCCCGAGCAGGCCGAAGCCGCTGGTGGACGCGCCGACGGCGAGCTTCATGGGGTCCGCGACCACGGAGAGGAGGTTGCCCATGAAGCCACAGAAGAGGTACAGCAGACAGAACTTCCGTCTCCCGAACTGCTTCTCCATGTTGCAACCGATCCGCAGCTGGAAGAAGATGTTGAAGAAGATGTGCAGCGGGTTCGCGTGGAGCATCATCGGCAGGAACAGGCGCCACACGGCGCCGCCGGCGATGGCTGGCCCCCACGAGGCGCCCAGGAGGTAGAGGGAGCACAGCTTCGGAACGCCGTAGCTGTTGCCCAGCAGGACGGAGCCCGCGTACTCCACGAGCTGCAGCACCGAGATCCGCCAGATGAACGTGTCCGCGCTGAAGCCTGGGAACAGCGTGTCCATGAAGCCGCCCTCCCGCCTGGCCACCGCAGTGTCCTGGGCGTTCTCCTCTCCACTCCGCGAAGCGGGCTGCGTGGCCATCGGCGGCGGCACCATCATGGCCACCTTGACCATCGAGGCGGCGGCGGCCGCGCCCGGGAGGCTTCCCGCCAGCGTCGCCGCGCCCGCCGCCCACACAGCCCCGCCGGCCACCGCGGCGCCCAGGGACCTCGCCGAAGGCGCGGCCCCGGCGGCGGCGGCAGCCGGGGCGGCGGCGCGGACGGGCGCCAGCGCAGAGGGCTGCAAGCAGGCCTCGAGGAAGGCCCTGTGCCTCACACCGCGCGCCACGCGCCGCGGCGGCGCGCACGGGACGAAGATGAAGTGCTCCCGCGCCTCCTTGGAGCGGCACATCGCGTCCCGCCCCCGCGCCGCGCGGCGCTGGGGCCCGCGATTGACTGCGACGAGCGCGGTGAGCTGCCAGCGTGCCCCTTTGGACAAGGGGGCTGGGGCCCAAACAGCGACGGCATGGATAGGGATGGAACGTGAGTGTGGCGCGCACGTCTGAGGTTCGACACTCTACCCTGCTCCGCCTCCTTCTGGTCCTCCTCCTGCCCCATCTGCCGATGAGGCTCCTCGTCCTTCCCCATCCGTGCTCGTTCTGGCTAGTCGTAGCAGTAATAGTGGTAGTGGTGGCAACGTTCCTGATCGGGACCGAGACTGACGGTCGTATGACAGATAAGAGCACGCGAGGATGAAAAGGGATGGAAGGGAACTGACAGGTGGGATGCACGCACCTCACGTTCGGCCTCTATTCGTGTCTCTTTTTTTTCCTACAACTTATAATACTCATACTGTACCTTCCCCTCCTCCTCTTTCTTTTATCATCTGAGCCGCAATGACAATCTTAATTGTAATTGCTCATGGTCGGTCGCAGTAGGCTGGCAACAGGATAATACCGGTTCTTATGCCGCAGCTACAAATTTGACTGCCACTGCCACTACCAACGCCACTACCGCTACAGCAAAAGCAACTGTCCTTACAGGACACAAGCATTGGGAGGATGAGCAGGAGACGGGGACGGAGGAGTGCCAGCAATAACATTAACAACATCAGCATAAGCAGCAGCAGAGCGGGTCCGGACGATCGTCATGCTTGGGAGAGGGCGAACTTGGGATACGCGCGAACCCCCACACCCACCACACCCCACACGTCCCCGCTCTGTCTCTTCTCTGCCCATCCACACTGGCGACACACTGCTACGTGTTGCTATATATATATATATATAACGCTGCGACGTCTAAACCGACGGCTGTTGCTACAATTGCTGCTGACGCCTTCGTGACCGTCGCATCCATCACTGCGATTTGTGTTGCTAATACTTGTGCTACCAAAACTATTGCCAACAATCAATAAAATAACGGAGGGAAGAGTGGCACACACATCACCCGTATGAGGGGACGAACGTGAGCTGTGCGCGCGCCCCTTCAACATCCACCCCCTCATCGCTCCAAGTCCCCCTGCCTTGCAACCAACCGTTGCTCCTAAAATTCCAGCGACTGCTGATACCATTACTCCTGCTTTCGAAAACCAGTCCAATAAATTATTGTCGGGCGAGGACAAGGAAGAGAGGAAGCAGCATCGCCAGGATGAGCAGGACGAGAACGATGGGCCGAAACTTGTCTCCTGACTACGTATGCTTCCACATCTCGTGGGCTCCGCGTGATGCCTGGGTGTGCGAGGCATGATCCTGGTAAGGGCCCGTTGGCGAAACGCGGGCGCCACGTGTTGGCTGGAGGGTCAGGTTCCGCCTGGTGGGCGCCGCGTGGGCGCTCCCAGCGCTGGCTGCACCACATAGCTTCCACCATTCGGTTTGCACCACATAGCTCACACCACACAGCTTCCAACACATGGCTTACTACACGTAGCTTGCATCACATAACTTGCACGGCATAGCTTACTCCGCGTAGGTTGCACCACATCGATTGCATCACACAGCTGACACAGCATCACTTGCACCTCATTGCTTGCACCACACAGTTTGCTCACACTAACTTGCACCATAAGTCTCCGACGCATGGCTTGCACTACATAGCATGCACCAACTAGACTCGTGCACCACAGAGCTTGCACTACATGGCTCCCACCACCTAGCATCCACCACATAGGCTGCACCACAATGGTTGCACCACACTACTGACACCACCTAGCTTCCACCGCATAGCTTGCACCACACAATTTGCACCACATAGCTGACACCACATGACGTGCACTACATCGCTTACTCCACATCGCGTGCACTATTTGGTCAACGCCGCATGCCTTGCACCACGTATCTTGCGCCGCATAACGTGCACTGTATATATGTATGTATATCCGCCGGCCCTCTTGCGGGGCCATGAGGCTCCGTGGCTTAGGCTTGCTGCTCCCTGCTCCAGTTCCAGTTTCCAGTCTCCAATGTTACATTTCTGTGCTCTGCTTCCGACTGTAAACTGTTGACGTCCGCGCGAGGGAGGGGAGCCGAAAACCGCTCTGGTTACCTTCACATCGGGGGGGGGTTCAGGGACTGGTGAAAATTACCCCAGTGCGACCCTACCTAGAAGTTGGAGCCCCTAGGAAGCCAGCATGAGTTGCTATACTATGCTATACCATGCTATGCTGCGCTATGCTATGCTATGCTATGCTGCGCTATGCTATGCTATGCTATGCTATGCTGTGTGATGTTATGTTAAGCTATGCTATGTCATGCTGGGCTGTGCTGTGCTATGCTATGCTATGATATGCTATGCTAAGCTGCGCTGTGCTATGTTATGCTATGGTATGCTATGATATGCTATGATATGCTGCGCTATGCTATGCTATGGTATGAGTTGCTATGTTATGCTATGATTTGCTATGCTAATGCAGCGCTGCGCTATGCTAAGCTAAGCTAAGCTAAGCTCGGCATCTGCCGCACATTGCGTTTGCGTTGCCTTTCCTTTGCTTTGTTGTTGCTTTTGCTTTGCTTGTGTTGCTTGGGCTTTGCTTTGCTGCCGCTGCTGATGCTTTGCCTTTGCTTTGCTGCTATGCTATGTTCTGCTCTGCTATGCTTTGCTATGCTATGCTATGCTGCGCTGTGCTATGTTGTGCTGTGCTGTGCTGCGCTATGCTATGCTATGCTATGCTATGCTATGCTGCGCTATGCTATGCTATGCTGGGCTGTGCTATGATATGCTGTGCTGCGCTATGCTATGCTATGCTGTGATCTGCTATGCTAAAGCTCAGCGAAGCTAAGATGAAGGTAAGCTAAGCTAAGATAAACCTGAGCTAAGATGGAGCTAAGCTAAGCTAAGATGAAAGAAGCTAAGCTAAGATGATATAAGCAACGCTAAGCTAAGGGGGCGTAACTGGGGGAACCGCGGGGCGGATGCCGGGGGAACCGCCCAGGGCGCGTTCCACTGCCCGGCCCCTTTAAGCAAAGAAAGTAAGAACCCTTCTAGGCAGAGCCTAGGAAGGGAATGCATTAGATCGCCCCCGAAGCCATAATCTATCGAACGTGAATTACACCGTAATCGTGCCCCCGGGGTCAGAACCCCTTGTCAATTATACAACGTTCGCGTCCCCGAGGTCATACACCCTTGCACATTGCACTATGTTCGTGCTCCCGAGACCATAGTTCGTTGGAAAATGGAAGAGATGTCGCATCTCACGCGTTCGTAAAGCAAGCAACATTAGCATCCCCGAAACCAGGACCCCTCGTAACTTCTTAGCTCTTCGCGTCACCGAAATCATAAAACCCATATGCAATATGTGCGCTCTCGAGGCCACAATCCGTCAAAAAAGCCTCCAAGCCGCCCAAGAGTGCTCCAAGACGCCCAAGATGGTTCCAAGACGGACTGAAAGGCGCTCCAAGAGGCCCCCAAGAGCGCTCCAAGAGCCGAAGCTGATTCAGGGCGGCGTCCAGGCCTCACGATATAGCTCTTGCATACATACCTCACGATCCGAAAGAAGGGGCCGGCGACAGGGGGCGAAGCCCTTGCGGACATATTTCACCGAATCGCCTACTCCACATAGCTTGCATCACAGAGATTGAACCACGGAAATTGTAGCACATTGCTTCTACCCACTAGCTTCAACCACAGACAACAACTTGCAACGCATTGGTTGCACCACACGGCCTCCACCCCGAGGGTTGCAGCACCTCGTTTCCGAGCGCAGCTTGCACGTTTGGAGTGCACAAACTAACTTTGTGAGTCCACGATGGCAAGCACCTTCTTATGTTCAAAAGTACATATACATATGTGTGGCTATGCGTGGGCGTTCTGTCGTATATGTACCAGTTATAACTTGCGTATACCAAAGAGTATATGCATATATACATGTAGTATGCTTGCCGACATCAGCCCCGCACGATAAGCGATTGCACTGTGTTGTGAGAGTGCGGTGCGTGAGCCCCACACCATTAGCCATGTGGTGCAAGCTCGTCGGTGCAATCCATGCGGTGTAAGCTATGTGGTGGGAGTGAGCGGTGTCAACTAAGTGGTGCAAGCTAAGTGGTGCAAGTTGTGTGGTGTAAGTTATGCGGCTTCATGCTCTGTGGTGCAAGCTATGCGGTGCAGTGGGGGGAAGAAGGGAGGAAAACATCGACGAAGACGACGAGAGACACCCCGACACGACGCGGAAAAGCGAGTCACACATTACGGCAAAATGTCGCCGCGCCGTTTGCCCTCGACGCGCGTGACGCGCCCAAGTGGACGACGCCGACACCACGACAGACCCACGACAAGCTCTGCGCCCGCGCCCACATGGACGCGGCCGGCACGGCGGAAAACCCACGGCAAACCCACCGCGCCTGAAGCGGCGTTTGCCCTGGTGGCCGAGGCGCCCTCCCCAAGATGGAAGGCCGCGCGTCGGAGCACACGGCGCGGCGACAGATCAAGGCGAATGACAAAAGGTTGGGGTCTTCATCATCGCGACTCAAAGAATGAAATCCCGCGTCAATGCTCCAGCCGGGTGTCTGGGCAGCTCCACAGAAGGCACCAACGACAAAATGGTCAGAAACGATACATACACTGCCGAGGTGGCCCTAAAAGTATCCCCGTTCAGCTGGGCAAAACGAAACACAGAAAGATGAAGGGAAGGAGATAACAGACCCCAGAAGGCAAGGGTAAACGGACTAATGCGTGGTAATCCCCGATGGTCCGACCGACCACAAATACAATCATGCCTCACACCATGATGCAGAGAGGAGGGTATCGCAATACACAACACAGCTCGAATCATGCGCTGCTTAAAAAGATATGTCATCCCACCAGCCCTTTGGCCGTAGGTGGTCTAACGAGTTATTTCTTTCCTCTTCCCAAACCATCTGCCTTTCGGGGGAGGGTACCCTCCAGTCCTCCCCCTCGCCCATTTGTCCCAGCCATCCTGTGGTGTTTGGTCTTCGTTTTGAAGAGACGGTGCCCCGTGTCCCCCTCTCCTCTCCTCCCTCCTCCCATCACCCCCCTCACTTTGGCACACCCCTCACACGTTTCGTGGGCCTATTGGGGGCTCTACCGAAGGCCCCAGCAGCTGCGTTCACATGCCGCCACCCCTCCACGTTTCACATGTTTCGTGGCCGCATGAAGGGGGCTCCACGAAAGGCCCCAGCGGCTGCGTTTACATGCAGCTACCCCTCTTCTACGGCGCACCCCTCACACGTTCCGTGGCCACATAGGGAGCTCCACCGACGACTCCACTGGCATGGTTCGCATGCGTTTCCCCCACCTAGTACAGCGCTTCGTGGCCCCATAAGGGGGGACCGCCGAAGGCCCCAGCGGCGGTGTTCGTATGCGTTCCCCCCTGCCAACTCGGCGTTTCGTGGCCCCCGCCTGGCGCAAACGTCCAGAACAGCGCGGAGCTAGAAGATGAGGAAGAGAAACAATCCTTTGCCCAGATATGCAGATTTCCACTGGGAAAGGGCACATATGTCCCTCTGCCCTTGGTCGAGGGGGTAGTGAAGGTAGCGAAATAAGGTGAAAGGTGTCTCAAGGGAAATACCCCTCGAACAAATACCCCAGCATGGGCCCCCCTACCACACATGCCGCACGGAACAATGTTGGCAAGGCCAAAAAAGCAAAGGACGTCCTGCAGCATCGCCTCACAGGTGCCATAGAGGAGCATGTCCAGCCACTCGCAAAGCAAGAAAGGGAGTAGGACAGAGAGAAGAAACGGGAACGGCTCCAACGCAGAAACTTGTGTTGCTGGGGATCCGCGCATGTAAGCCCATGACATGAACACACAGAAAACATAACAGTATGCATGCTCCGACCTTCTGACACATATCAAATAAACACTGCGATGCCTAATGCTTGACGCCTGCGGACAACAATACGTGGGTCAATGTACATGGCCAGTTCTTTCAAGCAGCAACACATGAGCACACAATTGGAACCAACGCGTTCCGACACTGTATAACAAGACCAAGCAACAACCTCCCTGGCAAGAACACCAGCCTGTTGGGCCAGGTCCGCCTAGCCCATTCAAACATCCGGACAAAACAACCCCGAGGTCGGCCTATGAGCAGACCAAACACAAGGAACACATGGTGCGACGATTTACATGCGCACAGGAGACATCACGGTAGCAGAATCGTGCGAGCACCAGAAGTACCTGCGCTCAGCCATAGCACGTCGTCAGAGCGTGCCGTCCCGTAAAAGACATAGGCACAGCGCGACAAGAAAACCTGCTCGTATGGCACAAGCAAATCGAGTCTCGCGAATTTCAATGCTGAGAAGATTCGTAGTTGCTTCTCGCGTTTGGAAAAACTCTGAGACTTGTTGTGTAGTGAGGATGCGTGCGGATCCAGATAACTTGCTGCCTCGCCAATGAGCTATGAAGATCGTCAGGAAACACTGCGACCCACCTCTCGAACTTCGACTAAGTATGTTTAGCACCAGCTGCACGGTGGCAGATACAACGTTCAGGATGCGAACGGCGAGCAACTTCGTTGAGTCACGTTGTCCTGTTACCTCTGTCTGTGGCTCAATCATGCGCCCCTCAACCCAATCAGGACGAGAAATGTTTGGACATGTTGGGCGGGTCCTCTCAATCATCTAATGATGCTGAACAGCCTCTGGTGGCAAGAACGCGTTGAGCATACTGAACTAACCGTGCGTGGATGACCAGGGACGTTGCGCGGACACCGACATTTACAAGCACGCGCGCAAGAGCAACACACCCGCACACACACATACGCGAAGTGATAGCACATTTCTCTCCCGAAACCAAGAGTGGCCCGCCTTCGTGCCTTCGTGGCCGGCATCCCAGGCCGCCAAAGGCTCCAAAAGCGCGTACAAAAAACTTAACTGCGGGCATAGGCGCAACAGTTGCTGGCAAAGCGCGCAACTGAGAGAGGCAGGTGCTTCCCCGTCGGGCGTTGACCCAGACTTGCACGGGAGCTGAATGCATAACGTCGAGGTCCTCTTGCATTATCTACGCCGCGCTGGTAGCACGAGACGACGCGCAACCCTTCCCTGTGAAGCTTGATTGCGCCCAGAGTGCCGTAACTACGTCGCAGATGTTGGGTTCTGTCGCGAGGCCCGAGCCGAGAGGCGCCCGGGGCGCGGCCTCTTGCTCCCACGAGCTGGCGGCGCGCATCCCCCCGCTCTCCTCTGCGCGTGGCCGACGCTCTCACGAGGGCCGCCCGCGCAGCGGGCATCGAGGTGAGGCGCTTCTGTCCCCCCTTGGCGCTAGGAGGGCGGCTCGCGGCTCGCGGCGCGGGCGCCTGCTGAGTTGGATGGCCTATGCAGGCGTGCGCGCATGACTGCCGAAGGTTCGGCGACTCCAGATCCCAGCGCACTTCTTTAATAGGAAGAGTTCTGGAGCGAAGAGTGCGGGCGCACAAGGCGCACAAAAGGTCTTGTACCGAGCAGCGCTTGGTCAGCCATAGTCCGAGCCCAAGAGCAAACATAAGAGCCCCGCACAAGGCGCACAAGGCCCCCTGCACAAGGCCTCCGCACAAGACTCGCGCGAGTACTCTGTCTTGGGGGTACTGTGACCTCCCCTGTCGCCACTGGAGGGTTGCCAGCTGGATTATGGTTTCTGTCGCCAAGCGCCGCATGTCTTGCAACACTACATGTTCTGTAGCAGCATGGCCCTGTAATTGGCAGCACGTTTGCGTCAAACCGAACGGCTCGTTGCAGGCAACATTGCAAGTCGTGCAACATTAAGCGCTGGTGAGAACAACTTGCAGCTTGTGACAAGTTGCAGCTCTGCTGGCCCTCGGAAGTGGCAGCTTGCGGCCTCTGGCAATAGCAACTTGCGGCTTGTGGCAAGTTGTACAGCGGTGGCCCTTGTGGCCCTTTCCAACTCCCTCTCGTCGTTCTCACAAAAATGACATGCTCACGATCATTGTTCATCTCCGGCTTCGCTTTCTAGCGCTCACGCGTCGAAGAACAGCTCTTCGAGGTTGCGGGTGCCGAAGCTCGGGAGGCTCTGGGCGGAGTGGACTGTGAACGCCGTCGAGAGCGAGGCCGCGGACTCGTAGGATCTCTTGCGGAACAACTGCTGGGGCTGCTGGTCGCGGACGTGCCGGTTGCCTTCCTCGTCGCCGGATTCCTCCTGCGCCTCGTCGACCAAGTTCGAGTCGGAGAATGACCGGGAGCCCTGCAGGCCGCGCCAGAAGCCCTGCCGCTGCAGCCGCTGCAGCAGCTCGTCCAGGCTGCGGTCCACGGTGCACTTGGCCGCCTGGGCCTCGAAATGCCGCGTCGTCATGCGGGCGCGGTGGATCACTGGCACCAGGGAGGGCTCCCTGCTCGTGGCGGCCGGCGTGGCCGGCCTTGGCTGCAGGAAGGGGTGCGACAGGGCCTCCGCCACGGACGGCCGGCCGCTCGCCCTGCGCGCCAGGAGGCTGCCGACGAAGCCCGCGGCGGCCGCCGACGGGCCCCCCACCTCTGAGTTCCTCCGCTGGTACAGCGGACGGGGGTAGCCGGTGCTGATGACCGCCATCATCTCGCAAGTACTCAGAATGGCAGGCTGGTACGGGAAGTCCCCGTACAGCAGGACGTACGCCGTCGCCCCGAGCGACCACATGTCTGTGCTCAGGGAGTGACCCTCGTTGCGCACCATCTCCGGCGACATGTAAGGCGCCGTGCCATAGCACCCGTAGAGGAGCCGCCCGCTCCAGGGCAGCTGGGCGGCGAAGCCGAAGTCGCAGAGCTTCACGGTGCCTCCGGTCGCAAACAGGTAGTTGTCGCTCTTGATATCGCGGTGCACGATCCGTAGACTGTGTAGGTGCTGCACGGCGAGTGCCATCTCCAGGAAGACGCGGGCGATCTCGCACTCGCCCATGTATTGCATGTGGGTGAGCCTGTGCACGAGGGCCGCCTCGCAGCATTCCATGACCATGTATACCAGCCTGTAGTCCGCATAGACCTCGTAGAGTTCGACACAGTGTGGATGCCTTCCAATCCGCGCCCAGATGCGCACCTCGTCTTGGATCTGCCTCCTCGCCTTTTGCTGGTAGCTCTCCAGGCACAGGGGGATGATCTTCACCGCGGTGCGCCGGTGGTTGCCGCTGCGGGCGGCCAGCACCTGTCCCCAGGAGCCCCTCCCGAGGGTCTGGCCGAGGCTGTACCTCTGGTGGAAGTCCCCGGCCGTGCCCCAGCGCCAGGGGGGCAGCCTGCCCCGGCGGGGCTGGTGGCCGCAGGCCGCGCGCGGGGTGGCCTCCAGCGCCGGGCGGAAGCACCCCATGTGTGTCTGGCGGGCGCGGCGACCCCCGCGTGGCGCGTGCGCGCCGCGGGCACCCTCCGCTGAGCACAGGGCCACTCGTGAGCCAAAATGGCTACGGAACTATGTCGCAGGTGCCTGGTCGTTAGTGACACCTTGTGTTCGGAGTATTCTGGATGTGTTCTGTGCACCCACTGGATGCTCCAACATGGCCTTAATACCTTCGAAGGGTCGCTCACACGCCCCTTCCAGATGTCTCCCTGACGCCCCCAAAGCATCCTCCAGAGGGCGCCCAACGGCCTCCAATAAGTCTTCCAGAAGCCTTCAAGAAGCTCTCGTCCTGCGAAGTTCCCAACCGTGTTACACATAATTAGCACTCCAGTGGCCTTCTGGGACCATGGCTGGAAATGCGGCGTGACTATTTCAATCGCTGCACGCCTCCTTGTTCGCACGTGCCATAGGCACACCATCACGGCAGACCAGACCAGCACGCTCAGAACATGTGAACATGTTAAGATCAACGACCTTGAATTCCACCAGGCACTTTTGGACCTGGACAAGACGCTGCTCGTGGAGCGAAAGCGAAGTGGAGAGGCAGGCGCGCGGGTGCGCCTTTTGCACCGTGCCGCCCCTACCGCGCACCATGGCGCCGCGACGGCACGTGCGCTGCACCGAGGTGTTTCTGGCCCTCAAGGTGCCTGCAGCTTCTAGCACTAGTTCGAAGCCCTTGGAGCTGTCTTCGACTACACGCAAGAGCGACCCTGGGTAAGAGTAACCTTTGTTGCGCGGCTTTCATCACGTTCGGCGATCGGGGCTCCATTGGGCCCGCACCACAGGTCACTCCGGCGACAGGTTAATCTTACGCCTAGTCGAGTTCTCTGGGCCTCTTGAGGGGCGCTCTCTCGGAACTCGAATGTTCGAGGATGTCGCAGGCGAAACGGGCCAGACTACCCTTCGCGCGGCAGATCGGGACCCAGAATTAGGAGGATGTCTCAGGCGAAACGAGCCAGACCAACTCGCGCGTAGCATCTCAGGTGAATGTGCTGAATCACTTCTCGCGCGGCAGCTCGGAGCACCGAGTTGCGAGGATGTTTCAGGCGAAACGGGCCGTACACCTCTCGCGCGGCAGCTCTGAGTCCCGACAGCTCTGAGTCCCGAGTTGCGTGGATGTTTCAGGCGAAACAGACCAGACCACCTCGCGCGCGGCATCTCGGAGCCCCGAGTTGCGAGGTTGTCTCAGGCGAAACGGGCCGGACCACCTCTCGCGCGGCAGCTCTGAGCCCCGAATTGCGAGGATGCCAGGATGCCTCAGGCGAAACAGGCTGGACCACCTCGCGCGGGCCATCTCGGAGCCCCGAGTGGCGAGGATGCCTCAAGCGAAGCGGGCAGGACCACCTCTCGCACGGCATATTTGAGCCCTGAGTTACGAGGATGTCTCGGGCGAAACGGGCTGGACCTCCTCGCGCGGGGCATCTCGGAGCCCCGAGTGGAGAGGATGTCTCAAGCGAAACGGGCAGGACCAACTCTCGCGCGGCATATTTGAGCTCTGAGTTGCGAGGATGTCTTAGGCGACACGGGCTGCACCACCTGGCGAGCGGCATTTCGGAGCCCCGAATTGCGATGATGTCTCAGGCGAAACAGGCCGGACCACCTCTCGCGCGACATCTCGGAGCTTAGAAATTTGGTGGTGCCTCAAGCGAAACGGGCCGGCCGCGCCGATCTCTTGGATCTGCGCTTGACCCCCTCCCTGGCGCGCGGAGCGCACCACGGGCGGCGCCGGAGGCGCCAAGCGCAGATCCAAGAAATCCGCGCGGACCGTCGAAAGGTCATATTTATCCAGGGTTTCTTCTTCGAGAAAAACTTGGGCCACATCGGCCCATGACACCCCTGGCAACACCCGACAAGCGGCTGTGAGCTCGCCAGCCGGCCAGGAAGGGCCGCTGCCCGCAGACTCTGCGGGCGAGCCCCCCGTCGCCTGTTCAAAGAGGGGGCCCTAAAGATGAGAACCTCAACCCATGGAGTTTCAACCTGTGATGGGGTAACCCAAACCAGCATAAACACAAACTTTTGAGGGGTCTGCGCGGATTTCTGAAATCCATGTTGGACCCCCTCCCTGGCACGCAGAGCGGCGGCGTCGGAGGCGCCGCTGTGGGCAGAGATCCGCGCAGGCCGTCGAGAGTTTACGTTGCGGGTTCTGGAGACCCTGAACCCAAAAATGTGGTCATCTCTTGGGAGGGAGACTTTTGCTTCCGCCGGCTTCCGCCGGCATTTCGCCGGCGGAGGCGGCCTAGTCTTACTTCCGCCGCCTTCCGCCGCCCGTCCGCCGAGACGAGATGGCAACTCCGTCGATCCTCGAAGGCAAGGCCCTGTTTGGAACGCCCCATGAATCTGATGCAGCTTTTACTTCTTTGAGATCCGCTTCCTGTCCTCAGGGGCCAATCCCTCAGCCCTCAGGGCCCCGTCCGCGAGCCGCTGGCCCACCACGCCTTGGCAGCCTGCGCAACTGCTCCGCTGCGCGGGCAGCGCCTTCTGCCAGCGGCAGCTCGCGCTCACGCCTCCTCAACACAGCTCTCCTTGTGCAAACCGAGCGGTACCGATACCGTTACTCCCCGTTCGGAGGCAACTACTGGGAGGTCTTCGTCGGAAAAATTAGGAAGGATTGCGCCCCTCTGGGGGGGCCGCTACGCTGGATTGGGCCGCGGATCAAGCGGGATTTCGCGGGATTGAGCCGGATTGCGTGGGATCAAGGTGGGTTAAGCCGGATTCAAATGGATTTCGGACCAGGGCAAACTCAGAATTTGACCTCCCAGAGCTGCATCCGAATCCACGAACTTCTCCCGGGGTGCGTTCTAACAATGAGTTCGAGGCGAATCGCGCCGTGGCGACGAGGGTCTCCAAGGAGGCCCGGAAAGGCAAAGCCCAGGGAAGAGTAGCGGTATCGGTACCTCATTCTCCTCTGACTCCTCGACCAGCGGCGCGGAGACCTCTGGGGACTTCGGCGGCGCCCGTACCAGCTCATACGGCGCGCGCTGGCGCACCGCGCGCGCCGCGACGCGCAGGTGCGCGGCGCGTCGCGGCGCGGTCAACATTCACACTCAATATTTTCGGTGCCCGTCCAGTGCAGCAGCCTAACGAAACCAAAGCGGAGTTGGTCCAGTCGGATCTACACAGGTGGTTCAAGGTTGCCACTATATTCTTCTACCATGTCCCAATATTACTATTTCTATATTGTTATCATGACGATTCGCATTCTTATCATTGGTAACCAAAAGTAGACTACAACTGTGAGTATGATTGATATTGTCTTCATTGCTGCTAAAGACTAGTGCGTACTATGATTTTTACCATTAGAACGAATATGGCTGCTATCACAATGCTACTACGACCACTGCTATCATGTATTACGTCTCCTCCCGCTCCTACTGCTCCTGCGTGTGACGGTACCCCCCGATCCCAAACAACTCGAGCTCCTGTGGGACAGGCCGAGCGGGCAGGATGAGAACACCTGATTTGGAGGATATGTGGAGCATCGCAGGCCTCTGGATCGAAAGGGGGCTGGGTGTGGGAGGATCGCAGGGGGGACAGAGAGAGCTGCGAGCGGCCCTGCCCGCGCGCTCGAACACTACGGCTTCCACCGGCACATCAGCTACCACAGGCAGGCGCGCCCAGGAAGCGGGCGCGCCGTACTCTTCTAAAGGATGGAGGATCGGTTTCGATGAGGTGACTTTTAGAGGATAGGTTTCCTGTACCCTGTTTGTCTTTTGTGCCGTTTTTTTGTGCCGAGAGGGCCTTCAACATGCCCTTCCATGTTCGAAGTCGTGAGGGATTGCATCACTTGTTGCTCTTGCGATTTCTATTGCCCGCCATGTGCGGGCGCTTTGGCCTGCTGTCGTGCGAATGCGATGGCACGTCCCCGGCTGTGGCCCCCTGTGGATCCCTCGCGCGGAGTTCCGATCCGATCCGATCCTCCCTCCTCCTCCCCGGAGCGGTCCCGCCTTGCCGTCCCCGTGGTTCCGCGCCGTGAGCTCCGGCGGCCGCAGGATGGGCGGCAGCAGAAACACCCCGTCCTCGCCGCTGCGAGGGAGGAGGGAGGGAGTTTTATGTAGAGTACTGATGATGAGGATGGTGCTGACGATGGCAAGGGTGATCACGATGACAGCGATGACCTCGATGCCAATGATGACGATGACGACGACCACGACGTCGTAGTCGTCGTCGTCGTTGTAATCATCATCATCATCATCATCATCATCATCATCATCATCATCATCATCATCATCATCATCATCATCATCATCATCATCATCATTATCATTATCATCATTTTCATTATTACCATTACCATCATCATCAGCATCGTCATCATTACCATATCCATCATCATCATCATCATCATCATCATCATCATCATCATCATCATCATCATCATCATCATCATCATCTCCATCATCATCACAATCATTTGCATCATCATCAGCATCATCATCCTTAGCATCAGCATCATCATAATCAGCACCAGCATCAGCATCATCGTCATCCTCATCCTAATCATCATCAGCACCGCCACCAACATCACCATCAACAACAGCAACATCATCATCAGTATCAGCATCAGCATCACCGACATCGACATCGTCATCATCATCCTCATCAGCAGCATCGTCCTCATCGTCGTCGTCTCGTCGTCATCGACGTTATCATCCACATTCTCAGTATCACCATCATCATAATCATCATCATCATCATCATCATCATCATCATCAGCATCGTCATCGTCATCGTTATCATCATCGTCATCGGCATCACTATTATCATAATCGCCATCAGCATCATGAGCAAAATCATCAGCAGCATCATCATCATCACCAGCATCGTCAACCCCATCATCACCATCACCATCATCATCTCCATCACCATCACCGTCATGACCATCATCACCAGCATGGCCATCCGGGGCATCATTAGAATCATCGTCATCATCATCATAATCATCATCTCCAGCATCATCATCATCACCATCATGATCATCATCATCATCATCATCATCAGCATCATCAGCATCATCATCACCATGATCCTCAACATCGTCATCATCACCATCACCATCATCACCATCACCACCACT